GCCTGTTCCTGGTTCCCAGGGCACAAATTAATCCAGCAACAGCAGGACCGGCGGAAGAGGGAGGAGAGAGGATGAGGGGGGGTGAAGCGCATAAGGAAAAGAATATAAGCGGATTCCGTTTAATATGGTAAAGCCCTCTCTTGATAACGGTCGCATCGGGCACAATTTGAAAATCAAAAATGCGAGCGCCGGGGGAAAGTTCGCCCCCCTCCGCTGTCTCGTACACGCGTGCCGCGGGAGATTGCTGAGGAACAATGCGAAGGTGTGAAAGCGCGCCGATTAAACAAGCCGAGATTCGTCCGATCGCGAAACGGCCGTGTCTCCGCGTTTCCGCGGCGAATAGGGGAAAAGGAGGGAAGAAGGGAGAGGAAAAGCAGAATCAACGGAGAGGCGCGTCCAGGCGCGTGTGCGAGGCAGCGAAATTACGACGTTGAAACTAACTTTCAGCGACGCTGAATGGAAAATAACAAAGCCCAGCCGCGAGCTCTCGCGTCCGTTTATTTCCGCGGAACTTGTTACACGCATCGCTCCCGCCGAAAATTTCGGCCTGAGGGATGAACGCGTCTCTCTCTCTCTCTCTCTCTCTCTCTCTCCCCCTCTCCCTCTCCCTCTCCCTCTCCCTCTCCCTCTCCCTCTCTTTCTCTCTTTCGTATTCTCTGCGCAAGAATCGCAATGTGTACTTCATTCTTTCGCACGCACGCGGCGCGTCGCGGCGTAGGGGCGAAAAGGCGAAATGCTCGGGAGGGAAAGGGAGAAGACGTGAAAGAGAGAGAGAGAGAGAGAGAGAGAGAGAGAGAGAGAGAGTAAGAGAGGGGCAGAAAGTAAGGAGAGGATCTGTATGTGCGCGCGCGCGCGCACTTCCGTCGCAAAAAGACCGGGATACATTCACGGCGGAAGCGCGTCGGCCGGAAGACGAGCAATCTATCCGAAAATAAGAAGAGAGCGTGGCAATAAAAACGCGCGCTTAATGGCCCATTACGGGAGCCGTAAAAAAGATTAAAGTTAAAGCGCCATTATGGAAAATTGCGTCGCCCTCTCCTCCTCCGGCCTTCCGGCTCGCGTCATGCGCGCGTCAGCGGTGGCGTGCGTGCATGCGTGTGCGTGTGTGCACTGCATAATATCCCGGATAATACCCCGGCGAAAAATACCTCTGGGGCGATTTAAATTAGAAAGGTGCTCCGCCCGTCGACTAAAACGCCGACAGTCGCGTCGCTTATTCCTTCATAAATTACACGCGCGAGATCGCGCGGATCCCGCCGCGTTTTCGAGAGTCGCAAGAGAGAGAAAGAGAGAGAGAGAATATCGCGCCGGCCCCGCTCGAAAACGAACGCCATGGGATGGCCCGCGGGCCAGAGAGAGGGTCGTTGCGTAGATAGCGAGCGCATTCGCGGGGCTGTTCTCGTGGGGGGTGGCCGGACACGCGCGATTCCGCTCGCCCGTTATCCCGCGCGGTCGCCGCGCCGCTGCGTCGCGAACGAGAGCGCGTTGTTTATGAGCGGCTCGGCCGCGTAATTGAGAGCGCTTAATAAATAAACACGCTCGCGCTTGAATACGCATTCTCCGCAGGGAGAGGTGGGGGAGAGCGCAGGAGGAGGGAGAGGTCGGGATGCACGGGGTGAACTGTGTGAAATATGAATTCATTTTTCGGAGGGTGCCGCGCCGCGCCGCCCGGGGAGGGAAAAAAATAACGTCTGGCCGACGACGGTCCCGGCCGCGGCGCCGAGTATGCGCGAAGCGAAGCGAAACGCCGCCCGATCGATCGCGTCTCTTGAGCGTCGAGCGAAAAGTAATTAGCAGCCGGCCGATTAAATAGTAACAAGGATTGGCGGCAAAGATCGCGCGTCGATCAATTTTTCACGTTTCTGGGATCTTGGACTTTTCACTCGGGCGAAAAATATCGCATAATCGGTCTGGGAGTGTGTCTTTCTTTCGCGCGAGCAACGACCCTTGGAAATTCGCGAGAGAGGAGCACGAGTTCGCGCGATTTCACATTCTCCGCGACGAGATGCGTCTCGCGAGCCGGCCGACGCGGCGAGCCGTATTCTCGCGAATGGGAAGAAAAAGACGGCGGGAAGAAAAATCGAAGAAGGACGAAGCTACGAGACAAGGGTAGAACTGAACCCGCTCGCATCCTACTCTCAAGAAACGAATCTTGATTAATGGCGCAAGTTTCCGCTACCCTGTCCCGCGCCGGCCATGCTCGGAATGCATAATGACCGGGAAAATACATTAAAATTCAACCTCGCGGCGACCAACCGGGAAGAGTCGTCTCTTTCTCTTCTCTCCTCCTCGCCCCGCTTCTCTCTCTCTCTCTCTCTCTCTCTCTCTCTCTCTCTCTCTCTCTCTCTCTCTCTCTCTCTCTCTCGCCCGCAACTCGCTTCGCAACAGCGTCGCCCTAAACACGAGAAGATAACGTCATCATTCTTCTCGCAATTAGCGCGTCTCCCCTTTTGATCGATGACGGCAATTAGATCGAGCCGTGTCGAACACGAGTGAGAAGTGCATCGTTCGCGCACACGCCGATCGTTAGAGCGCGAGAGAAAAATCGTCGTGGCGACGGTGACCGTCGGTGAAACGTTGCGCGCGCACAACACGTCAATCACGAGCTTCTTCCCCGTTAATGGCCGATTCGCTGAATGAAGTCGTCCGTCGCGAGTGCTCCTCGCAGCCGGCTTCTGTCTCGGTCTGTCCCACGCACACACGCGCGCGGTACGATTAATCGTGAAAAGGTCAACGGGATGGAGCGGACAGATGGGAGAGTGGGAATAAATCGCTCGTACTTTATATCGTGCTAATGGAAAGGAAGCGCGACGGAGTTCGGCCTAATCTCCGCAGTGAACCGTGCGGTTTTTGGTACTTTCCTCGACGATATCGAGCGATGTCTCGAAACAATGTCAGTTCAGGAGAAAGAGGGAAAAAGAGAGGGAGATTTGGGTTATAAGTATTTCACCGGACCCAGAAATGTGTCAGTCACGAAAATAGTTGGTAATTTCGTATTGTTTTACTCCTCCGCGATAATAATGTCAAGTCGTAATTCATGGGAATTTTACGACAGAAACTCTCCGACGACGACGACACCGCCACCGTCGTCTCCGCCGCCGTCATCTCCAACGCCTCCTCCGCGGGTCGATACTCCCGGGGTGTCGTCGGCACATTCTTCCGAACGACTTCGTTCTTTTAAAACAATAAAATTCTCACCATATCGACCGACTAAATTCTCGCATCGAGCTAGGAATTTTTACAGACGGATATAAAAAGCAGACCCGCATGCAATTAACCTTTGTCTCTCTCTCTCCTCTCTCTCTCTCTCTCTCTCTCTCTCCCCCTCCCCCTCCCTCTCTCTCTGTCTCTTTCTCTCTTATCCTTTCTCGAATTTCATTTCGCGAACCTCGCCGAGTAAGAGTGTTACATAAAACGCGGGTATCACTTTATCTCTTTTTCTCCCGTCGTTATTCCTGATTGCCTCGTCGTTCGGAAAGAATTTAAAAATAAGTACAAAAATATTAGAATTTCACAACGCGCTATTTTATCATTGCGTCGAGTCACGACCGACAAGACGGGCAGACACGAACATTATCGCTCGATGATATCGCGGCCGCGAGATGCGTTTTTGCTTTCTCACCTCGACGACGACGACGAGAATAAGGATGAAGAGGAGAATGACGAGGACGAGGAGGAGGAGGAGGAGGAGGAGGAGACCGAACTCATACGACAGCGCGTATTAACGCGTTTAATACCGTCCGCAGTTTCCAGTTGAAACACAAGCCACAGTGGAATTTCGCAGCGCAAATTGCCGCGTTTTAATGACTCCCAGCTGATCCTTTAAACACTTCCACGCGCTATACATAGCGTTAAGTAGCTTAATAATTAACTCGGCGTATACAGCCGTGATCCGTCGCAATAAAACTCATCACGGATTAATTGAAAAATAATATCCCCGCGCGATCGCGCCTCTTTGCGCGGACTCTGAGCTTGAACGCTCAGAATAGATTCGATGTTGAACATTCCGACAATTAACGGCGCGGATTAAATCCTCATTGAGGAACGTTGGAGCGCGCGCTAATTATACAACGGACCGAACTTTCTCGGTCCTTGCGCAGTCTTTCGCGACGTCGACGTCGACGTCGACGCCTACCTGCGTTTCGCGAGGCCGGCCGTGCGACTAACAGAGAATATCAATTTCGGTGTATGGATGCGATTCTTTCTCGCACGTATGTGTGTGTGTGTGTGTGTGTGTGTGTGTGTGTGTGTGTGTGTGTGTGTATAAAGCACGGTGCTCGTCAAATGTACGTCGGGAGATGTCAAGATGACGATTGATGCAAGAGCCAGATCGGCGGAACGACGAACGTTCGCACGCGCAGCGGCCCTCGCATTAATGAATTTCGTCCGTTCCTTTTTTCCATGAGAGTACGGTATCGCGAGTGTCCTCTCGATCTCACCTTGACCCGCTTCTCTCGTCTCGAGGCGATCCGGTGCCGAGCGAAGAGCCGCGAGCGAGCGGCCATTGTTCAACTTAACTGTTCGTGCACGGAAATGCCGTGCACGGAGATCTCAGCTGTCGTCCCCTTAGAAGTTCTTCGTCGCAAAAAGCACAGGGGATATCGCGTCGTTGGTGGATAAATTTGCGCGCGTGTGATGCGAAAATTGAGCGGAGACGCGATTCTCCGTCTCGCATCGTTGGGAATAAATGCGAGTTTCCTCGACGCGCTCGCAGCATCGAGGCTCGTGAGTCGGTTGAGTTTCAAATAACTCCCGGTATCATTCTCCGTTGAGTTGAATTCGCGACCGCGTTATCTCGTCGAGTAAAACGAGTCATATTGTTTCTCTTGGTCTCTCGTCTTGGTATCTCATCGCATCGTGAGACGTCTCGTCGAAGCAGCCCTCGTGAGACACTTTGCGACAAAGGCGGAGATCCGTTCGCAATTGCGCCTCTTAGCGCGCGCTCGCGCACACGTACACACACATACACACACACATGCAGGGTTTCACGGGTGACTTACCTTGTAACTGCCGACCGCGTGCGCGCCATCGTAGATGTAGAGATGGTCGTTGCAGTCTAGATGCAGCTGATCGAATCGGAGCATGAACCGCTGTAGGATGCTGTGAGTCTGGAAAGTAATGGCGCAATTGAGGTCCCTCTCATTTTGCGAAGTAAGAACGGCGCCGTCAATCTTCCTGTAGAGATCCCGCAGGAAGTATTTCTTGCAAATGTCGGTCATCTGATCTGTAAAGGAAACAGAGGCACACGTGAAGGCAGAGAGAAAGACAGAGAGAGAGAGAGAGAGAGAGAGAGAGAGAGAGAGAGAGAGAGGGAGAGAAAGAGAGACAGTCGATCGCGTTTAGGAAACGATCGATGAATCGCGTCTCAGCGACGTCAGAGTCGCGCGAATCAAGAATTGATTGCAAGAAGGTGCACGATTGTGAAAGAAATTTATTGTATGAGGCACATGGATGAGTAAAAAAAAATAACAATAGAATCGCAGCGTTAGCGCTCAATACTCCGGAAAAATCGCAGAACCGACGCGACGGACGATGTTCCGCCGAACTGCGATATTTCACGTTTCCTTTCTTTTGTTTTTCTGTCGGGTGTGACGTTATTGCATTCCTCGATATCAACGAAACAAACATACGATTCTGCTTCATTATCCTGCGCATTTTAAATATCCGTCCTCCATACAAATATTCCATACAAAGGTAAAACATCTGCATTTTGAGGTGAGCGCTGAAAATCCCACTCTCGCGCGCGCGCGCGCGCGCGCGCGCGGATGACACGCGGTAGACGCGCGTCGCGCAAACAGCCACAATGCCACTAGAGTTGGCTCCGCGATTGCAGCAGCCGTTGCGGATTTGCATTTAAAACGAATGATAACGAATGCACGTCGGCGGTCGGTAGTCTCGGCAGTCAACGCGTCAGGAAATAAGTTACAGACTGACTGAGTGAGAGAGAGGGAGAGAGTGAGACAGGGGGGACGAGTTATATGCACACATAGTGAGAGAGAGAGAGAGAGAGAGAGACCCCAAATTGCGGGATCGCCATAGTTTCCCAGACGTTATGTTATGCCGTAACATATTTCGCGACAGCAGAGGTTGCAGTTCTAGAACTTCGCACTCTCGTCTTCGTCTCACGTCTTCCTTCCTTCCTTCCTTCCTTCCTTCCTTCCTTCCTTCCTTGCTTACCGCCATCCGCAACCCCAAAGAACCCCGTTCTCCTTCGCTCCGGCTGTGCAACGTCGAAATTACTTACTCTCGAGAGCAAACCCGAGACGAATGCGTTCGTTCGCACCGCTTAAAGCGTAGCCTGCGAGCGTCGTCGTTGCGTCATTCTGGCTTTCGTCTCGCGTCCCGTCGCGTTGCATCGCATCGCATCGTTCAGAGTCGCGTTTTCATCTGAGAAGCGAGCGAATAAATAGCCACAGGGGCGAATCTAACGCGAGCGTCGCGTCGCGCGCGATCAATTACGCCGGCTGATAATTCATCGGCCGGCGAATCGGCCGCAGGACTCGCGCGAGCCCGTCACGAGTAAAACGCGAATCAGTCGAACGTGGATGCGCGTACCCGAAGAGCTGTAACTCGGCAGAGGACTCGGCGGATTCGTCCACGGATTCATTGACTCGCGAGGAGGCGAAGAACCCGACGTCAACGCCGACATGTGGAGGCGGCGATTCCGCGAGCGGCGGCGCGTAACGCGACATGCTTTATAAATGAATTCGTTCTATCGAACTGCCGCCCAGCAGCCTCTAATAACAAGTTGGCGAAGTCGTTAACTTTTACTGCGCATTGGCGCCGAGTTTTACGGGACTTTGTCGCACCTCGCCGCCGCCGCCGCCGCCATTCGCTCGCCGTTCGTCGAACACGTACGTTGCGTTGCACATCTGGGAAGATGTAGCGGGTGAACAGGAAAAACGTGACTCGCCGCTAAGTAATGTATTACGGCACACGCAGGTGGTATTCCCCGGCAGCGTGGGGGTTATAGCAGGTAGGATCGCACGTGAATCGGCAATCGCTATTTCTTCCTCGGCCGACATTGCTATTTTTCGCGACGCTACCTACGTACGCACGGCAAGAAGCAGGCACGTCCGATAATTGCGAGCCGTGTTTGTCGCAGACGAGCGTCGGACGGAAGTGTTGACGGGACAACGCCATTACGTTAAAATTAAACCGTGAGCTGAAACTTTCGTCGTCCAAATGCGGGCGAGCGCACGAGCGCGCAAATACGGACGAATGACGTGGTGCGACGCGACGCGACGCGAGTTTTAGCGGCTCGCTCGGGAGATTCGGAAGACCCACGAAGATCTTTCTCTCTCTTTCTCTCTCTCTCTCTCTCTCTCTCTCTCTCTCTCTTTCTCTCTCTCTCTCTCTCTCTCTCTCTCTCTCTCTCCTCTCTCTTTCGCGGAAGGTGAAACCGACGTGAGACTAAATCCGGAATCTGCAGATGGATCAACAACTGTGTACGTGCGCGTGCGACAAGGAGAGGGAGAGCGAGAAAGAGAGACGCGCGTCTTTCGAATCTGCGTTGAATTCGAAATCAGTTTGCGAGAGAGAACGGAGATTGGAATATCCAACGGGGAGCACTGTTTTCTCAGACTATCGCGATTTAGCCGGTGTATAGTTTGCGCTTTGGAGCGTGCTCGTCCGTGTATACCGACCGCCGGCCAGCGGCTAATCATCCCCGTAACTGGTATTAACTTCACCGTGTAGCGGCAAGTTTCGATTCTCCGCTTTCTCACATGCGAGAGGAAGCGAGAAGCCACCGAAATACCGTGCGTGCCGCGATCTTCGCGGGCGAAGTCTCTCGCGGGTGTTTGCACAGCGCGATACACCGCGCTTCGTCAGCGCGCTTCCCGACGAAGGCGCGGCTCCGAGAGACGCGCGGAAACGAATATCCCCGGCGCGACGAGGCGATTTTACTCGTCAATATTCCCCACAGCGAACGCCATTCGGATGAGCACCGGTGAAGAACGTCCGCGCTTAATCAGCCGTGACCGCTCCTCGAAGAAGGATGTTTAAATGCTGCATTCCGCCGGGCTACGGTGTTCGATGTCTATTTTGATCGACCAGTCGAACCGGCCGAGTCGAATTACTCAACCGATTGATTTATGCATCGTTGAGATAATGAGAGGCGACTCTCTTTCTCTCTCTCTCTCTCTCTCTCTCTCTCTCTCTCTCTCTCTCTCTCTCTCTCTCTCTCTCTCTCTCTCTCTCTCTCTCTCTCTCTCTCTCTCTCTCTCTCTATCTATCTCTCTCTCTCTCTCTCTCTATTCTGTATATCTAGTATTATTATAGTCGTGGTGAAGTCGAGTGCTCATTGTTGTGGCGGCTCTGCGTTATTCTGAGTTATTCTGCGTTATCTCGCGTTACTTTATTCAATACTTTGATAGTGCATTCTTTAATGTTTCGCATGATCAATGGTCTTGCAACGCCGTCGGCTTGTATTCCTAATGAAACCTAAGGGGTTGTTTCCCCAGGGTGTGAATAAACTATCTATCTATCTATTTATCTCTCTCTCCCTCTCTCTCTACACTAGGAAAAAAAATTTAGTATCTCTAACAAAACTGTTTAGTTGAGGCATTTTTTAATAGCAACCTTGTTTTACTCTTGTTTTATATAACAAAATATTTTGTTGTCTCAACTATTATTATTAATAAATACATTTTTCTGCTTTGTTCTCTGGACCAAATGATTTTGTTCTTAGACTTCATATACAAAAATTAAGCATTTTAGTTATTTTATCCATAAAAGTTACATAATAACGAAATATTATTTTACATAAACTAAAATAACGCTCAATGGATACTATTTTGTCTTTCTGTGCACTAAAATTTAGATTTTGCATATATTTAGATTTTAGATTTAGAAAATTTAGATTTTAGATATATTAAGAAAAAATTATAGTATTTTTAACAAAATTCATATAGTTAAAGCTTTTCGGTTGCTATAACAAAAGTATTACGCTATGCGAACAAACCGTAATCAAACGAGATATTTGTTTGCAGGAACTAAACAGTTTTGTTGGGCATATTTTAACCAAATTACTTTGTTGTTACAACAAAATTTTGGTTCGCGCAACAATACATTTTTCCTAGTGTACTCGTTTTCTCCATGCGCTCGCGATTAAACTCGGACCGCCATGCTCGGTCGGCGAGATAAGAAGCGTGCTGAATTTCCACAGTTGCACTGAAAATGTCGTCATAATCTTGAAGGCCGCGGTAACGCCTCGCCGTCTACGCGGCCCGCGATGATTCGAGAGATTTTACACGCGCACCGGCCGACGAGAGGATTAATCCGCCGGCTTCGATCGCCACTTCTTTCATGGCGATGTCGATTCTCCCGCGGGACCTCAAAATCGGGATTACCTCGGCGATGGTGGGAATTTTATTTCGCTCCTCTACCGCCCGGACGTGTATGTATGTATATTTCATCGATCGTGTCTGCCCGTGAACGCCGCCAGTCGCGGCGCGTAAATAGCAAAGTTACCGGAGCCGTTTTATTTGTTATTTATCGCACGAAACGGAATGTCGTATCGGGCTCGCTTGGAAATGTCGCGCGTGCGAACACGGCAGCGTCGATTAACGCAGCGAGCGCCGTGTATCTCGCGAGAAAAGTCGACCCCCGATTAATTAATCGCCGTCGTTCTAGATTGCATCCTGCGCTGCTACAATCGCCTTTTCATTGTCTCCGACGACGAATCGCGCGTAATCCGATGAAACGCGGATAGTCCGGGAATTATTCCAGGAGCCGCGGCTGATGTTTGTCTCGTCGTTTCACGCGCGCATTTCCGCTCGCTCCAAGTGAGATTCCGATATTATCATAAAGTGTTCGAAATTCACATAATCTCGGGTGTCCTTCGGCGACGCTGCCGCCGCCGCCGCCGCCGCAGCGAGATGAATCCTTGAAGCGCGTATCGCGTAAACACGTCCATATACAAGCGGGACTTTCATTTCTGCTAAAAATACCGCCGCGCGAGAATCGAGTCGATAGCCGGGATTACTTTTTGCTCGGCGAACGCGTCGAAAATCTTAACGACCCGCGCGCCTCGAAGCGCTGTTTACGCTCGTCTGCTCGGAGAAAGAGTTCTCGCGCGAAGAGCAGGAGGAGATCAATCCGCACGTCCGCGCCGTCGTGCTACCGCGATCCCGATCTCGCCGGATCTCGCGTCGAGATTTCCCCGATGCCGCTGATTCGTCTCGTTTGGACGAGCCGGCTACGAAAGGACGCAGATAAAAA